CACGTCTTTTAGGTTCTTCGGGGCCTCCATGTCCACAATTGCTTTTACCTTCTCCGGGTTAGGCTCGATCCCCCGTTCGCTCATCATGTAGCCGAGGAACTTGCCGCCCCTGACGGCGAAGGCACACTTCTTCGGATTGAGCCTCATGCTGGCCCTCTCCATGATGCTGAAGACCCTCTCCATGTCCCGGACATGGTCCTCCTTTTTCTTACTTTTGATCAGGATGTCATCTACGTAAGCTTCCATTGTTTTCCCAAGCACGTCTTTGAACAACATCCCAATCATCCTCTGAAAGGTAGCCATGGCGTTCCTCAGGCCGAACAGCATGACGATGTAGCAATACACGCCGTCCGCCGTGACGAACGCCGTTTTTTCAGCATCATCGGGGTGCATGAACACCTGATGGTAGCCTCTGAATGCGTCCATGAAACTGAGCAGCTCGCAGCCTGCTGTCTCATCCACCAGCAAGTCGATCCTCGGAACGGGGTAGGGGTCCATCGGACAAGCTTTGTTAAGGTCCGAGTAATCGACGCACATCCGCCATGTGTCGCCCTTCGGGGCCAGCACCACGTTGGCCAACCACTCCACGTGGATGACCGGCCGGATATGTTTGATGCTGAGGAGAGTTGCTGTCTCCTTCCTGATGAAGTCGCGTCGGTCGGCCGCCATATATCTTTTCTTCTGTTGTATAGGCTTGGCGTCCGACCGCACGGCGAGTCTATGGCATATGAGATTGGGGTCGATGCCCGGCATGTCCTCCGGCCCTCTGGCGAACAGGATTCTGAACCTTCGGAGGACAGCTATGACCCCCGCTCTGATTTCCGGCTCTAGATCTGCACCGATGGACACCTTCCTGTCCGTCGGGTCGTCGAGCTCGATTTCTTCCAGCAAGGTTGCTGGTTCCAGATGGGCGTCCAAGTCGGCCTGCCTGGCCTTCTCGGAGATGCTGTTGACCCGAGCCTCGTGCTCGTTGAGCTTCTCCATGGCCTTTGTGTAGCAGGCCCTGGCCATATGCGGGTCCGTACGTGCTACTCCCACTCCCGTGTCGGTGGGGAATTTGATGCATGAGTGTCGTACGGAGCATATGGCCCCCAAGTCTTCCAAGCCGGGTCGGCCCAAAATAGCGTTGTGGGCGCATTTCAGGCGGACCACGACGAACGTCATCCCAATCCGGGCGGTGTGAGGGCCGTCGCCGATCTCTACTGGCAAGATGATGGTGCCCTCAGCGTCAATGCAGTCCCCGGTGAAGCCGAACAGCGGGGTACGCAGAGGGTGTAGCATGTCCTTCTTCAGCTTCATTCCCTCGAAAGCCTCCCAGTAGAGGACGTTCACACTGCTCCCGGTATCAACAAGGACGCGGCGGACGATGGCATCGTTCACGTCCATGCTGATCACCAGCTCGTCTCTGTGCGGTGCTGGTGACATCGGCAGATCGGCGGAACCAAAGGTGATTGCCTCGATCTTGTTGCGCTTGGTGGGGGGTGCTGATACGGAACCCACGTAGAGTGACCTCTCAAATTTTTTACGTTCGGCGGGTGTATCCCCCGTCTCAGCGCCCCCGAAGATCACCTTGATCTCCAGCTTCTTCTTTTTGCCCTTCGGGCCGAGGGACCCCTCCGGACGTTTATCCGCACTTCGATAATCCACATCCTGGGGGTCTGCCTCGCGCCGGTCGTCGCGGCGCCATGTCCGAGGCCTTGGGTTTGGCTTCTGCTGGCTGTTTTTGTTCAACAGCTGGGTGAACTCGCCCAAGTACCCCTGACGGATCAGTTCGTCGATTGCTTTCTTTAGTTGGCTGCAATTGTCCGTCAGGTGGCCGGCCCTCTGATGGTATTCACAATAGGCCGATTGGTCAAGCCCCATATGCTTCTTCACATCCTGAGGTTCCATCAGGAGGCCCTTGTCCTTGATGGCCTCAAAAATCTGGCTCACTGGATAGGCCAAAGGGACATAGCGGTCGTCCGGCCGCGTCTGAATATCCCCGGACGGAGCCTTCCAAGGGACCATCGCCCCTTCCGCCTTCTTCTTTTTGTTTGGGGGGAGGGCCCAGGCCCTGGTCTGGGTCCGAGCCTGTCCGCCATCTTCCGCGGGTGGGCCGCGGGAACTCCGTCCCGCTGCCTGATCTCCTCCTCAATGGAGGCATACTTCTGGGCCCGAGCCAGAACCTCGGTGTAGCTGGTACCGGGGTTTCTCCTCAGGTCCCGGTACAGATCTCCGGTGGTTAGGGCACTGGTGAACATGTTCGTGGCCAGGCGTTCGTCCAGATCATCGACCTGCAGGACTTCGTCCCTCCACCTTACCAGGAACCTAGCCAGCGGTTCGTCCCGCCCCTGTTTGATGTGGGCGAGAGCCGTGACGTCCTTCCTAGGAGTGGTGCTGGCAGCGAATTGGGCCATGAACTGCCGGGAAAGCTGTTCATATGAGTCGATGGTGCCCGGCCTCAGCTGGCCGAACCATTCCTGCGCCGGTCCCCTGAGGGTGCTGAAGAACAATCTGCAGATGGCCTCGTCCGAAGCTCCCAGCATGGACAGGTTCCCTTGGTAGCTAATCAGATGGGCCTTGGGATCCCCGGCCCCATTGTACACCAAGTTGCCCGGGGGTCTGCAGTCCCGGGGTATCTCGACGCTCATCACCTGGGGGGTGAAGGGTGATGTGAGAGAGAAAGAGGGCGCGGCCGAGCCGGCGTCCGTCCGCCTGTTCATCTCGGCAATCTGCTGCTCCATTGCTTCCAGCCTTGCATCCTGTGCGGCCCTTCCGGGGGACACAGGGGGCACGGCTTCGAGGACAGCGTTTTGCTGAGCGGCCACAGCACCGTGCGGCCGCCTGAGGATCTGTGCCCCTCGCCGCTGGAATCGTCGTCCAGCGGTGTTGATCCTTGGGGTTTCGTCTCCCCGCAAGACTTGGCGGGGAACTGATGGCGTGTGCGCCCTGAAAGCAGCAGTGCTGACATTGGTTCGCCCTCCCGTTCCATGGGAGCCTGAACCTCCACCTAGCCGCTCGTGGACTGAGGGCCGGTGGTCGCTGGACCCTGTCGTATCATCGTACGACTGCATACGGCGGATGGGAGAGAGCGGTGTTCGCTGGGTGCTTGCAGAGTACACCTGCTCTTGAGCTTCCCGTTCGTCTGCCAAACGGCGCATGGTGTCGGCAAGTTCCCGCATGAGGCGGGGATCCTGCCTGGCCTCAAGGGGAATGAGGTCAGTGATACCCTCGTTTCCCCCGGAGGTCCAGATCGTTGCGGACAGTTCCGAGTTCTGGCCGCGATTCCGGCGGCTTGACTCCAGACGTTCGGAGAGGTCGCGCTGGTTGTTGCTTCCTGACATCGTGTTTGCTGTAGGTAGATTTAGTAGCTGTTTGGGAGAGTTTCTGGAAACTTTTTGTTCAGTTTCCCACAGACGGCGCCAGTGTTGAGGTTTATTCCTTCAACCCTTGGACCCAACACGTAAGCCCAAAGATTTCGAGTGGAGTGAGTGTATGAGTATGTGAATATCTAGCCCAACAACTATCAGACGGATCAAGAAACAGAGGGAATAGCAGGCAATGTAAATAGGTATTATTAACTTCGTAATAACTCCCCTAAGTACAATCTACTTACTAAAAAAGGCACGTCGGCCGTTCGTCTCGCTAGGCAGTAATCTCAGCTGCGAGCAAGACGAATAAGCTAGAATGCTAAGAATAGAAAGTTGCCCACCCTTTACAATGAAATAAATGCTTCTATTTATACCCACCAATGGGCAGGTGGCTATACTGACGTGGCAGCCTGTGGACCGCTGGTGCCCCAACCACCCAATCTTCAGCATTAAATGCACTTCCCGCCAGAATCTAGGTTTCCCGCCTAATCAGTGGGGACGTTCGTCCGTCCGGGAAGTGAGTTGGATTACTCCAAGTGACCCCCAAGAGATATCGGTTGTTCGTCTTCTGGCCCTTAATGGATAATCACCATGTGGACTAGATTTCCTCCGATGACTACAGGCTTGCTCCGGAGACGTTCGTCGTCATCCCTGGTAGCCCGTGGTCCTGCTCCTTGTCTCTGTATAGACGCTCGTCAAGAGGAGCCGTTGGGCCTGAACCCCAAACCCCGGACGCTCGTCCTTCCTTAAGGAACATGGGCCTGCGGGCTAGCCTTGTGCTCTGACTGGACGTGCGTCTGGTAAGGAGGGGTTAATGGGTCGGACCTCGGCTTGGGCCATTAACCCAACACCTGTTTTACCTTTTTCGGGAAGTCCCACTAATATTATCTCATACCTTATTTGATAAAGTTTGTATGGCTCAAAATCAACACTGTCAAATAGGTCCTCGAACTTTCATAAAAAAGTCAATTAAGTCCTTCTATAGGAGATTTTGTCCGGTCTTCGCGATTTAGGGCGGTTCCCGGTGGTATTTTTTGATGAAATTTTTTGAGCATCTTATTCATCAAGTCTAGTTTACTCATACCAAATTTCAGCTAAAAATTTAATCGGGAACGCATTCAAATTAATTCGAGAATGCAAAAATGCGCAGTTATCTTCAAGAATTAATTTGAATGTGTTCCCGATTGAACTTTTAGCTGAAATTTGGTATGAGTAAACTAGACTTGGTGAATAAGATGCTCAAAAACTTTCATCAAAAAATTCCACCGGGAACTACCCCAAATCGCAACGGCCGGACAAAACCTCCTATAGAAGGACTTAATTGACCTTTTTATGAAAGTTCGAGGACCTATTTGACAGTTTTCCCTTCTTACTTTATTCTTACTTTATCAATTAATATCAACCACATAAAGCCATTTTTCTTAAAAATTGTGTCACTCTCTTCCGTCCAATATAAAAGGGACGGGGGTAGTAGAATTCTATTGCTTAGACAGATATAGAGATAGAGCATGGGCTGCCTTCCGGGTAAAAAAAAAAAAAACATGGGCAGGACATTTTGATTTTTGATGGGTAGATTAATACACATAGCAGACCATAGACGGGACATTCAGACCATTAATCAATGCACGAAACCTTAAATTGCGCATAAAACACCACATAATCAAGAGTCTCTTTTCGTACAAAAGGTATTAATGAGAGCACTACCTGTTAACTCTTTTATTTATTAAGTTGACTATCAAAAACATTGATACTAGTGACAATAACTAACCAAACCTTGGAGCATATTTTCCCAGGGCCTTCCTAAATACAGATCTGGACCGACCTTTAAAGTTACCATCCTTGTTTGGATCTAAGGAGCAACCCCAACAGTCCAGAATCCACTACATACAAATCTAGGCTGTTGGTGCAGTAACTCTACTAGTCCCAAGTTGATCTATGACTTTCCTAGCTACTTTTACAATCATTGACCCCTTAAGTTTATCCTTCTTCATCATAGTCATCTTCTGCCTCCTCACTCTTATCCAGATTATTAGCCAGTTGACTGGGATAAAAGGAAATCCCTTCCACGTTTGACCATCCGGGATACTCTTCCCCCCGCTTCATTTCAACACAATTATCTCCCATCTCGTCTAACCCCACGTTAAGATCAAAATTTCTCATTGTTGGTTCTATGCTCAGGTCAGCAGAATGGGCCTTCCGATCCGCGGGTTCTGAACCCGGCTCCGGCCTTTCGTTGTTCTTGTCTGCTTCATCTTCTTCATGCTTTTCATCGCATAAAAAACCACAAGCATATTCTCTCTCTGCTGCCCGACCCTTACCCCGACCCCTAACCCTGCTTCTCCCCCGCCCACTACCACCACTTGGAGGTGCTGTCTCGTCCTGCAACCATGGAAGCGATCGTAAGAATTGTCTGCAACACTGTTTATGTGAACTTTAAGGCAAAAAAAACATCAAATTGTTTACCGTTTGGCTGTGTTTGATGTCATCATCACTGTCATGATCATCAGAATCAGCAATTTTCCTGCCCATTAGAACAAGAAAGAATGCCACAACTATAACTTCTAGTCTTCTACGCTTTGTGATGACAAAAAATGTAACTAGTTTCCCCCCAAAAATGTGACAACCTTCAAAGGTTTAAATCTATTCAAATTTCTTCTCCCTCCAACATCTACCCAGCTGCCCCCCTCCCCCCACCCTGCCTCCCCTAGCTGCCGTCAGCCATTGTCAGCCACTACCGGGGGAAATCGTCATTTTTCAAACAGTCACCGGAAACATCTGCCAACCGCCGGTAAGCCTTCCTCAAAACATATTTAAAAAATTGCCAGAAAAGTCCTCGGGCTTGCTGCCAACAGTCACGGTGATATTTGTAGGATCACCGGCGGTTGCAATGCAATGACATGTATAGATTTCCAAAAACTGAATACCATTGCTATAAAAAATTGAGTTTCAATATACAACTATTTTAACAAAAACACCTTCATACAAAGTTAACAATCAGCAAAGACGTAGGGCCATGTAAACCATTGCCGCTATGCTTTTCTGCATTATCTTGTAGTGTTAAGTAATTAAGAAATTGCCCCAAGTAGAAGTAAAAACAATGTGAAATTCCAAACTAGTAGTATTATGTTTTTCCCTAAATAGGAATGAGGGAAAATTGCACTTTTAGTCGCTCAAATAGTATCGATATTGAAATGTAATCCCCGTGTTCCCAAGTATGTAAATTTAATCCCTCAATTTTCTGAATTGGTGTAAATGTACCCCTCACCCACATTATACATTTCGCCCCTCAAAGTACCACATTTACAGCAATTTGAAGTTTGAACAATTGAGGGGCGACATGTACAAACTTGGGAACACGGGAATTACATTTCAATATTGGTACTATTTGAGGGACTAAAAGTGTGATTTTCCCTAAGAATAATTATTATCATGCTTGGAAAATACTGCCGATTATGGCATTAATACTGCCATATAAATGTCTGGTAATGCCAAAAGATATTCAGGATGACAGTAACTAACTCCTGTTTTGAGGAAAAAATATAGTGCTCCTATGCTAGAATTTCACAATGTTTTTACCCCTATTTTGGGAAATTTTCCATAGGTAATTTTATACAACTAATTCAAGCTACATGTCAAAGACACCGACCCCAACTAAGGTGATGATGATATGCATTGTAGTTTCATTTCATAAAACTCACACATTGCTAGGAACAAAATGTTTTCTGAGATCACTAGTTCAAACACGGGAGGTTTACACATTCATTAACCTCAAGTCCAATGAGATCATTCGGGCCAAAGGTCATGGATACCCGCACTATAAAATTACATTGCGACTTGTTCCTCAACTATTACTTTTTAAAGTCAGGCTGTTCACAAACTTAGGTGAATTGCAGAAATGGTCCCTTCCACAAACAAATCCAGGGGATTTAGTTTTGGGATATGGGAGACGCTGGCACACTACTTTTAGAAGTGCCAGAGTGTCACTACATCATAAGCTAGCAGAAAGCAGCTTGTCTTACTTGGATTGGATGTTTTTATTATTTAAAAAATGTGGGTCATCAGGTAGGACAAGACTACTTTATCAGGGCAGGAGAGCAAAAACATATCATTATCAAGAAAGAGTCGAAATCTCAAGTAACCTTCTTTTACTGGCAGATCTATTATCAATGGCAGTATCAGAGCCACCTAAGTCAGGAACCCGACTTACTATATCCTTGAGGAAATCAAATACATTACAAGTTTGTACACATTGTTTCCTGAAACATTAAGTACTGCATCAGATTATTTGAATGAATCCTTCAATATAGAAGAGATAAAAGGCACTAACCTTAGCTGCAACTCAATGTGATTGCTGAAAGTAAAATATGTAGGATACTTACAAATGGAATGAATTCAAAGTTTTTGCTCCCCTCTTAAGTGTAATGTCATATGTCCGGTCACAAAGATCTTGCAGAAAGAGCTCCAGAGCTTTTGCTGGAAACGAATGAGCTGATGTGACTGGACTTTACTTTAAGGCACAATTGACCGAATTACAAGTACCAAAAAAGGTAGTTAACTTTCTTGAGATTTTAATAAATATTATGAAATTCCAAATTTGCCCTTTATATTATGCCTCATAAATGAATACTTTTAGAAAATAAACATGAACACAATATTATTTGGGACAAACAATAGAATGAATTAGATAAATGCTTCATATGAAAAACCAAGAAGATAAACCATTTTACTTTGGATACTAAGGATACATACACATTAGTAAGGGTACAGCATTAGCAATCTTTCCTACATCTTCATCGGCTTGCATAATCTTCTTAATCCGAGCCTACAAGATTATATCGTCCATTCCGGTTAGTGGAATATGAGAATTCAATAACAACGAGGGAACCATCAGGTTTAACCAAAAAGACAATTTAACAAATATGACCAAAAAACACTTCTTTATTTCAAAAGGGAAAAATGTAAATTTGGTCAGAGCCCTCTAGTATTTTTGTTCAGCCATTTGATCCTCACCGCAAAAGGTGAACAAACTTCACCCTCAACTATTCCAGATTGTGGACCGTAATGACAGGCTGGGTAAGTTTGGATGGAGGGTCTTGAAGAGGGAAGACTTTCTGGGGCTAAGGAGGTGTTCAGTTCACCTTATTCCTTATGCTTATTACTTATCCTTAAGTTAAAAAGACCATATGTTATATTTCAAACAAGAAAATTACAGACACCTGCACCTGAGCAGAACAATTCACACCAAACCAAACCAGATCTTAAAAAGTTTAATTCTCAGATCAAATCATATTAATTCAAGCACAGAGATCATGTTCTTAGCCTATACCTTGAATTTATGAGTAAAATGTTTCTAAATATGAATAACAGGTTATGGAAATAATTAATGATATACGATCTCATATTGTGTTCATCTTTCAACTTTGCAACAAACAAAACTCAAATACAGAGTATATATCAAGATATAGACTGCACCCCTCAATGTCTTCTCCTCGAAAGCCCTACATCCAAACAAACTTTAAAAGGCTAAAACAACTAGACACAAACTATTCAACATCATTCAACATCATTACCCCAGCGCCGCAAAGGCTCCCACCTACAGTGGGGTAAGGGGGGTCGGATGTATGCAGTCTTACCCCTGTACTAAAGCACATAGAGACTGTTTCCGGATGACCCATAGTGAAAATCGCATCCAAAATTGCATGGACTGACTGCTGCTTCATAACAAAGAAGCACAAACAGTTTAGTCATCCATTTTGCTTTATTCCATCATATTCTTAAGCCAAAAAATAGTGGATCTTTGGCCCAATTGCAAATGATGGAAATAACTAGACACAAACTATTGAAGGATCAAAATCACTTATTTTCTTAGTTAAACCCATTGTTTTTAATCGCGCAATGCATTTGCGTCTCATGGAACGCCTCAGGTAATTCCTAGACTATGGTGTAAAAGGCATTGCATATGGCACTGGGAGTGTGGCGTACGCAATATTACACTGAGGCGTAAGCAATAATGCATACACAACAAGGCGCTCTGAGGCATACACAATAGGAGGTCAGGGTGTAAGGGTATTAGTTGGGCCCACTCGGCCCACTTTTTAATTATTATAATTGTTGTTATGATCCCTATTTCAAACCACTGGTTATCGATTGGATTTTTGAGTCAATACATCATTTTCATTTTCATTTACCCCAGTGCCGCAGTCTTACCCCTGTAAAAGCACAGAGAGACTGTTTCCGAATGACCCGTAGTGAAAATCGCGTCCAAAATTGCATGGACTGCTTCATAACAAAGAAGCGCAGACAGTTTAGTGAGTCATTTTGCTTTATTCCATCATATTCTCAAGCCAAAAAATAATGAATCTTTGGCTCCATTGCAAATGATGGAAATAGGATTTTTGAGTCAATCAATCTTTTAAATTTAAATTTTCATATCTTTTATTTTTTATAAACGATTCAGAAAGTTTTGATACTCTATGGTACTTTGAAGTTTGAGCATATTACTTTGCTAGGATTATGGCCTCTTATGGTTTGTTTTAATATAATATGTGACGACTATTGATGAATATGTTTATTTTTTATTATGTTTTTATATGTGTGTGTGTATATATATATATATACATATATATATATATATATATATATATATATTATGCCTCAGGCATTGTGCAATGAGGCTTACACAATACGCAATATTAAAAAAACGTCACGACTACACAATATGCAATTTCAAAGCTTGGTTAAACCAAGACAAAAGGCATAATCTCCAATTCTACAATGGCTTCATACTTAACGGAAAATCAATAATAATAAAATATAGAATCTTCTTGTGCAAACCATCCCTCTACTCAAGGTCAGGTCATATCAACATTGACTTCCTACAATTGAGCTAGATATGCATACTAGTTGCATATCAGTTCTACTACCACTATTCATTAAATACTTCAATCTTTAAAAGGGAAGATATGGCATTAAATAAGTTCCTAAGGTTGTCATGGCCGCTATGCACGGTGCAGCACCAATGAAACGTCTGTCTCCTAGGCGACAGGTAGCTGTATGCAATATCTGAGAATAACTTAAAATTTACTCTGTATAAATATATATATATATATATATATATATATATATATATATATATATATAGATAAGAGATCAAATACAAACCATGCTTAAAAACTAACCTACAAACTCAATAATATGCAACACTTTGAACTTTAATATGCAGTATAAATAATGTAAAGATGCACATTGTGAATTTCAATGTGAAATATAAATAATATGCAATACTTTGAACTTCAATATGCAATACAAATAATATGCAACACTTTGAACTTCAATATGTTGATCTCACCCCTATATATATATATATATATATATATATATATATATACACGGGCCCAATAATTAGAGTTCAACAGATATCATCCCTTTGGTACCACTGCTTGTGCGCCTCCCCACCAATTCCTTTGAGTTTCATTCGTGAGAATGTACTCCCTGATTTTTACTCCACACCGATAGGGGGTAAAAGATCTACTACTTTAAGTGGATCTTTTACAAAATCAATTCGGGTTGGCTCTACGTCGTTTCCTGGATCAGGATGAACGCTGATGGCATGCTTAACTGGGGAATTACCAAACCATTTAACCCTACACCCAATTTATCATATTAATTCAAAAGAAGATTTTAATGTCTATTTCCAATAAATTATACTACAAAATGTCTGCACAATACAACGGTGTGATTCATTTGATTGATACCTAAAGAAGCAAAATAAAAATTATAAAGAAAAGAAATTAACTACAACAATAAATAAGGAAACAAAAATGAGATTCTCAAAAAAAAGGAAACATAAATGAGCAAAAGGGGAGAAAGAAAGGCAAACTTGGAAAACAACAATTTATCTTTAGCCCTCTTCTCTTTACTCCGTTTAGTTTTTCCTTTCTTATTCAAAACTGATGATGCTTTTTACATTAGGAGAACACGGGTTGAGTTACCCGGTCAAATTAGATTGGGCGAAATATCGATCGGCTATGGCGAGCGCTCTCCGCCGCCTGGAACTCTGGAAGCCTAAGTGTCACCTAGACAACGCCATGATAACCACTATTGAACCTTTTAACTAGTCTTTGTTCAACCATTTATGTTTAATCTAAATGTTGACTTTCACTACTAACTCATTAAGCATGATTATACACATCTTTTAACTGCTCGGAACAAGTTCTTTATGTTTCTTTTAGAACCAACATAATAACAGCAGTTATACCATTTATAGGTTTGCTTTTATGTTTAAATTTAAATTATGCATCATACCACAAGCATAGCAAATAAAAATTTATAGATTTACTTTGGTCTAATAATCATGGGTTCACGGAAATAACCCAATCCTAGGCACTTTTAGTCTTTTATACACATTTACTTCTCTGAAAATCTTCACAGCAAGTCTTGTTTAACCCATGTTCGAACACACGAGCAATTGACCCCTAAAACCAACAAACTTAGAGAAAAAACGGGTACATATTAACTGAATCTCGGTCACTCTAAATGTCCATTCTCCTTTCTGCAAAACCCATACACGCTCACAACCCATAATCAATTCAGCAAAAATTACATCAAAACTAGCACACGAAGCACAAATTATAACTCTATAACCATACAAATAACATATGTACGCATACATATAAAGAGCGAGAAAGAGAAAAGTGAAGACTGCATGAACAAGCAGAGCAGTTTTAGGATTGGGTGGAGTTACCGCAGGAAAGCGAGTATCTAGCCTCTTCTTCATAGCGGCAGTACTCCTTGATCACTCAAACCTTGGATTTCCCAACCTCAGAACTGCGTATAAATATGCATAAACTTATATTCATATTAAGTACTTTGTATTGTATATAGATAATTAGATATAGATCGATGATACGGAGTATATGTAAATCTATGCTTTCCCAGAAAAGTACCACTGAATCCATGATACGGAGTAAATAAAATTTAGACATGGGAAATTGCTTGGACTAAAAAAGACGGATTCACTTTTCAAAAAAAAAAAAAAGGACGGATTCAAAACACGCGAAAACAGCAATGGTATAATTCAAGTATAATAAGCTCGTTTATGAATTTTTCAAAAAATTCGGAAAAATTCACGTACTTTAAGGATAAAATGTATAATACATGTACCGTACGTATTGATACGTATTTTATTCCCGTATAATACTCCCGTTTATGAATTTTTCAAAAAATTCGGAAAAATTCACGTACTTTAAGGATAAAATGTATAATACATGTACCGTACGTATTGATACGTATTTTATTCCCGTATAATACTCTCGTTTATGATTTTTTCAGAAAATTCTGGAAACCTCACGTACTTTAAGCATAAAATGTATAATACACGTACTGTATGTATTGATACATATTTTATTCAAAAACACACACCATTAAACGCAAGTCTAATGTAGTGATACAACTGAAACGAAATGTTTAGCTGCTCAATATTATGTATATTGCTTTAAAAATTTATGCCTTATATGTTCGTTAATTGTTTCATAGTCATTACATTTAATAAATTAGCTTCTTATATTCGTAATCCTTTTCAATACTACCATTGTACTACTACTGTATTACTTTTGTTCTCCACCCATACCAAGACTCCAAAGATATCGAAAAATGTTGTGTCGGCTCACCAAACTCACAGTCACAGTAATATCAACTATTCTCTAATAATATCTCTCTACTTCTACTCAAATAGGCAATGCCATTTTTATTACAATATTACTTATTGTACTTATGTGTTCAAATCTGTATATGAAAAAATTATTCCGTACATTTTAAATTGTTGAAGAATGTGGTTCAAATGCTAAATAACTTTTTATTTCTATCATTAAATTAGTATACTATATGCCGTATTTTTAAATTGTGAAACGTTTAAAACGCATCTGTATCTTTATATATTTCACGAACGTATGAAACATATATTAAGCGTATTTTATATAATTGTATCGTATTATACACGAACGTACGTATTATTGTATTATTCACGAACCGTATATTACTAACAAAGAATGGTATTCAGAAAAGGAGTAAAGGGAGTAAAAGACACAAACAACCCGTCAGCCCTCAAACGAGTTTTGGAGTTAAATACCTTCGAACAAGTAATATAACTCGTTTGATCCATTAATGGGCAAACCTGAGCCACAAACGATTGAATTAGATCTAAACTCACCACATACTAATGCAAGAGTCTTACAAACAAAACTAACAGCACAAAGCAAAAAACAGTCTGATTAAATAAAACGACAACAAAAAAATGCAGAAAAATAAACATTCCTCTCCATCTTCACGAGCACCCGACATGTCCGCAAGCCGAAACCATCTGCATCCTTAAGCAAACCGGCGGACCTATAGATTGAGGTCCGCCTCCCTGCTTTTTTGTCTATCCAGTGTCATATCTTCACCTGTTGGGTGTTCCTGTTCGTTTTCCTCACATGTTCTTCTGCGTTTCTGCTCTCCCGACCCCTCCTCTGGACTCACCGAATTCCTTTCCTTGATAGCACTAGTTCCAGTGCCTGTGGTAGCATCCTTCCAATCATGCCCATATGTGTCCTGTTTATCTGAAACCCGCATACCAGTACCGGAGGACCCTTCAATCAACACTTATTTCCTCTTGTTGGGATAATCTTCACCCCTCCCCCAGCTCTAAGATCTACCCCATAAGTTTTATCAAAAGTGATATTCTCTCCCTCATACACCACCGGGCAAAATTTATCAGAATGTCCAATAATTCTACGCTCAAAGCAAAACTTGAGTTTTTCATATTTAAAATTCACCCACTGGCTAAACTCCACCTTTTCAAGAGTAGTCCCTTTTTTCAGAGGTCCCTAACATCCATATGGACCCTAATTCTTATATATGCCTCCCATTTTTCATCAGGCCGACGATCATCGTAACTAATAAACTTTTCAATATAACTTCCAATTCGTCTAGCTGAACCCAAATTGATAAAACCATACGCAGCGTTATGTACTTGTACACAAAAATCAGCCTCATAAAGACAAATTTGTGAAGAAATATTGATTTCTTTAAGAAGTAAAAGATTTCTTTCAAATAACCACGGACCTTCATCAAGAACATGTCTCATATCTAGAGAATGGTAAAAAGTAAAAATATACCTCTTATCCCCAATTTCTTTGATAGATATACCTTTGACCGGTCTCCACAACGATGTAATTAATTCTTTGAAGAACTGGAATTTGATCTTTCGATCCGTAAGAATCATGCCCACTACCGGGAAGATCGCTTTTCCTTCTGTCGTCGGTTGCTCTCCTTCCTCCTCATCATCAAAAATCAGCTCCTCCTTGTCCTCACCAATTGTCATCTGTTTATAGTGATCAACAAAGTCTTCCATTTAAAAAGTCCCTCTGTGTCGCACAGCCCGACTCCGTCTACGGAAACCGCCGAAGAGAAGAAACGAACTCGTGACGCCCCTGCTTAGCCAGTTGCCGAAGCCGAATTGAAACTCGACCTACCGCTAGAGATGGCAATTGTGACCGATCCAATGGATACCCGCACCGAACCACCCCGGTCAAAATGGGGAAAGCCGCATTGACCAGGTAATGGGTACGGGGCGAGGAATACCCGTTTTGTTTTTATGGGTAACGGGGCGGTTACGGTTTTATGCATGCCTGCCCCATTACCCGCCCCGTTTATTTTTAGTTATATTTTTATTACTTTTTTATCTATTATTTGTCTCATGACTAATAAAAGATGAGATTTTTAATGTTCATTGTGTATATATGAATAATAGATGTACTAACTATAATGTAAGAATGAAAGTTCTCAATAGAACTTAATAGTCTTGTTTGATTATTCTATGATTTTTCGTGATTTATTATTTTTCAGATTAAGTATTTTTGGGTTCAAATTAATTTTGGTTGTCTTCTCTCTCGTCGTATAGATATATGAAGCTTTAAAGTGGCGTTTGAGTCTAGCGTCGTCTAGGTGATGCCATTTTTCGTCTTTTAAAATATTATTTTTTATTAAATTATCAATGACTCATTTAGTAAAGTGATTACCCGTGGTTACCCACGGTTATAACCGTTACCCGTTGGGGCGGTTATGGTTTGGGTAAAAATTACCCGTTGGGTAATGGGGCGGTTATGGGGCGGGGGAATTACCAAACGGGGCGGGTACGGTTATATGTAAAACCGTCCCCGATCCGCCCCGTTGCCATCCCTACCTACCGCCGTAGGAGGTTGTCGCGGCCTGCAACTCCGAAATCCTACGCTCCGACACCCCAAACTCTCCCGCCTGCGGCCGCTCCTCGGAAACCCGATAGCGGAGGAAACAATGCTCTAGCGGCACTAAGCCCTAGAGAGAGAAAACGTAGAAATTTTGTTCTACACACGAAAATAATTTAAATACTCTAAAGTTTTAAGAGAGTATATAAGTACCACAAACTTACAAATATAATCTATCTATAAATAATAAGATACGTATAATTTAGGAAAATTTTGCCATGTGTCATCTTCTCAACAATTCTATTTCAATCACAATTTTAGATACTCCTTGATAACGATTTAATTGAGAAAAACAAATCTTAAAAACATTTCAAAATCATGAATATGAATTTTATTCATGTATGAATTTATGGAATGAGTTCATTTAACTCTATAAGTCAATGTTTCAAAATAAAGGTAAGATGCGTTCAATAGCAAGATTGCACTTGTTAAGAATTTTGCTAAATACAATTTTGTCTTAATGTTGTTTCAAATTTATGTTCACTTTTCTAATTAGGGATATTTTCAATTGGAATCAAATTTTTTTCTCATTTATGAAAGGTAAAGTTAATTAAGGATCATTATTATTCACAATTCTAGATTGCATGAAAAAGTTGAATACACTGCTACACTTTCTACGTTATCTTAAATTAAAAATATAAAATACAAATATGAATTATGGAAATTTTGTCGTATAATTAAAAATGCAATTTAGAATTCAACAAAGTTCTATACATTATTTATGTAAAATTTTCTCAATGTTCATAAACATGATATTTACCATATCAGACCAGTTCGGACAGATCCAACTTTAATGAACCAAACTAGATCAAACTAGGTCATATCATGTCAAATTAGATCATATCATAAAATTTTTGTCCAATCAAAAAACATTTGTAAAGGAGTCCTCTCTAAAATTCAGAACTCCATATTAGATTAGAATAAATCTCGTGATGCATTCTACGTATTCTAATGTTCTGAAGCAATACTAATAAGAGTAATAAATTTTTGGTCTCCCGAATATTACGTAGGTAACACTTTTGGTACTCAACTTTTAATTTTTCCAAATGAGTGGACTCAACTGCCAAGAAAAGGAAGAGTCATGAAATGTTCAATCTGTCAAGGGGAAGGTCAGAATAGGAAATCTCGTAAAATATCTGTTGAAAGTGAAGGCAAATCAAGGGGTGCTGATAGGGGAACAGAAGAAAATGAAGGGCATACGATATCTGTTCAAATGGGAATAGGACAAAGGGGTAGAGCTAAGAGGGGTGGAAGAGGGGGTGTTGAAATGAGGAGAGGTGAGATGGGGAGTGTTGAAACTGGGACAGATCTGGGGGTAATGTACAAAGTGGAAAAGGTTAGAGGGAGGGAGGTCACAAGAGGAAAGGTCAGAGGGGGAGAGGGAAGAGGGGAGGAGGTGAGAGGGGAAGAGGAGAAAGGGTATTTGGGGTATATTTTGATGAACATATAGGGATGGCCATTTTGGAAGTAAATGTATGTGTTGTGTAATGTTATTACTCAGTTATGTGTTTTTATTGTAATATAGACTGAACAAAATCTTTTTTTATGTCTGATTGCAGCCTGGACAAAGAGGAGGAACATTGCTAACTGGATCCTACAGTGGAGGTGGAGGAGAGGAAGGTCAATGAGTTGCAATAGGCTGTTGCATGTTTTTTTTGTTCACTCTGTATTTTGGATAAACATTTCCTATGATGTAATGGAGGTGTTAATGGTTTAGTAAGATTGTGCTTATGCAAAAAAAAAAAAACTATCCTATCATGTAATGGTGGTGTTGGTTGCACT